TGATTTCCAATATGATTGCCATCTTACACTAAATATTAATTTCTTCTTGGTTCTGTTTCAGTCATTCCTATTCCGCTCTACCAATGTCTATCCTTCCCAGGGCTACAGTATTATTATTAAGTTCTGAAATGTATTTTAATTCTTGTAAGAGCAAGTCACCATTCCCTTCTCTCTGACTTCTCTGGGAATGGCCCATATTACTTTATTTTCTTTTTCACTGACTAGCATGTCCAGAACAAGCTTAAATGATACTGGTAATAACAAACACGCTTATCTTGGTTTCTGATTTCAGCAGGCAGGCCTGATATTTGTCTCTCATTGTTAAAGGACGAGGCACTTAAAAATTTTATTCATGCGAGACCCTTCTATCCCCATACTGCTAAGAGTTGGCAGCAGAGATAGAGACTGAATTTGACTGATTTAGTTGTCATCATGGTTTTTTATTAATTAAATCAACCATGGGCCTATAATAAATTTTCTAGGGACGTCTGGGTGGCTCAGTTGATTAAGCATCTGCCTTCAGCTCAGGTCATGATCTCAGGGTCCTAGGATGGAGCCCTGCATTGGGCTCCCTGCTCAGTGGGGAGCCTGCTTCTCCCTTTGCCTACTGCTACCCCCCCACTTGTGCTCTCGCTGACAAATTAATCTTTAAAAACTTTTTTTTGGTGGGGGCGGGCACCTGGGTGGCTAAGTGGGTTAAAGCCTCTGCCTTCGGCTCAGGTCATGATCTCAGGGTCCTGGGATCCAACCTAGCATCAGGCTCTGTACTCAGCAGGGAGCCTGCTTCCCCCGCCCCGCCACCCCCGCCGCCCGCCTCTCTGCCTATTTGTGATCTCTGTCAAATAAATAAATAAAATCTTAAAAAAAATAAAAATAGAAATAAACTTTTTTCTAATATTTAATCATCCTTGAGTTCCTAAAATGACACACATAGTGTGCTGGCTTTTTTATTATTATCTATAGCATCATTTTCCCAAACCATGTTCCAAAGAACATTCTTCCAAGATATGCTATTAGATATGGCACTAAAAAAATAAACTGTGTGTGCAGAGCTGGACACTAAGGCCTTTTTCTGGGGTTAAAAAAAAAAAAGAGTCTTCTGCACACTTGCCTTTTAAAAGATCAGGGGCGCCTGGGTGGCTCAGTGGGTTAAAGTCTCTACCTTCGGCTCAGGTCATGATCCCAGGGTCCTGGGATCGAGCCCCACATTGGTCTCTCTGCTCAGCGGGGAGCCTGCTTCCCTCTCTCTCTCTGCCTGCCTCTCTGCCTATTTGTGATCTCTATCAAATAAACAAAATCTTTAAAAAAAATTAAAAAAAAAGATCACAAGGAGACAAAGTAGAGAAAGACGCTAAGCTTTGGCATGCCACTACCTAAACATATCTGCACTAAGCTTGGGGCTTGACACCAGCCATAGGGAGGAAAGAAAATGTTGGTCCAGAACCTCCCTTTGGTATTAGCTCTGTCAGAATCTGCCATGTAGGGGTGCCTGGGTGGCTCAGTGGGTTAAAGCCTCTGCCTTCCGCTCAGGTCATGATCTCAGGGTCCTGGGATGGAGCCCCACATTGGGCTCTCTGCTCAGCAGGGAGCCTGCTTCCCCCTCTGCCTGCCTCTCTGCCTACTTGTGATCTCTGTCTGTCAAATAAATAAATAAAATCTTAAAAAAATAATAAAAAATTAAAAAAAAGAATCTGCCATGTAGATAAAACTGGCTGGGAAGTTTCCCTGGTTTCTCAAAGTGCCAGAACCACTTAACGAGTGTGGGAATTGGCCCTTCCTTGAAATATAATATACTCACTAACCACTAGAGCCCAGACCTTTTTTTAGGGATAAAATCCTCTGACAGCATTCTTGTCTCTTCCTGCGGTCAGGGGTGTACTCACAAGCCCCAGTCCTCCCCTTGCTTATTAAGAGGTGCTTACTAAACACCTGCTCTGTGACAGGCAGTGGACCAGGTGCTGGAGGTGCCGAGGGGACCAGCATTGAGCAGAAGCCTTACAGAGCTGGTAGCCCAAGCACAAAAGAAGTTGGCTGGAAACTAAAAAACAGGAGAGGGGCGCCTGGGTGGCTCAGCGGGTTAAGCCGCTGCCTTCAGCTCAGGTCATGATTCCAGGGTTCTGGGATCGAGTCCCGTGTCGGGCTCTGTGCTCAGCAGGGAGCCTGCTTCCGTCTCTCTCTCTGCCTGCCTCTCTGCCTACTTGTGATCTCTATCAAATAAATAAATAAAATCTTTTAATAAATAAATAAATAAAATAAAAAAAAATAAAAAACAGGAGAGCCAAAAGGAAAAGCTGGACAGTGGATACACAGAAACAACTGAGGAAATTTTCCCATGAACAGAGAAAAAAAATGATTTGGAAAGCAGAGGAAGGGCTTGGAAGGTCCAACATTCTAAAAGTTCCAGAAAGGGACAAGCAGGAATAGAGGGGAGGAAGGCATCCTTGAAATAATTCAGGATCATTTCCCACCCCACCCCCACCCCCAAATGTCTGCGATTCCAGAGTGAAAAGGCCAGTACGAGATATAAACAGAACGAGGGACGGTGAGGGAGGTTTCAGACACAGACAACGAAAAGACCTACAGGCTTCCAAAATTCTAGCTTGTGTCCAAGCAGAGTTTCACAAGGCGGAGAAAGGAGCAGAGAGTGACCAAGTACTTCACAGGGCTGTGAATGGGCAAGAAGGGAGCAAGCAGAAGTTGGAGACCAGTCTGGAAGCAATGACCAAGGATGAGGACTGTCCAGTGGTGGGATGGGCTCTGGAGGTGAGGCAGAAAGATGGCGTGCACGGGGGGAAAGAGAGGAAGCAAAGAATCAGGGACACCTGCAGGACTTCTGACTTCACCAGCTGGGTGTGTGTTGTGGCCCTGATCGAGAGGAAGATGGCAGGAGGGGAGGAGTGGTTTGGGAGTCAAAAGCTTGACACTTTCTTCCTCTGAAGTTTGAGGTGTCTTGTGTCCCAGCACCTGGAGGGTGCAGGCCAGGGCTTGGACCTGAAGTCTAGCGTCCGGAGGTCTGGCTGCAGGCTTCTGTGGAAGTCACCAGCACAACAGAGGCTTGCCAGGGTTGTGCACTACACAAGGTCCCCCAGGGGAAAAGCATGTGGCAGGGAGGCAGCCTGAAACCAGGTTCTAAGGAGCCCTGGCATTGAATGATCAGGGTGAGGAGGAGCCTGTTTGGGTTTTTATGCTTTTCTGGAAACCACCTATTTTATTAATTTGCTGTTGTTGTTTTTAAATTTGGGGACAGCAGCTAGAACTCTTCCTCCGTGGACCTAGGGCTTTATCCTCCATTTGGGCCTTCACCCCCTTCCCTGTTCAGTTAGCCTTGCCAGAAGCGTGTCCACATGTTATTTTCCAAAGAACCAATGTTGGGATTTTTCACTTTTATTTTTTCTGTATTTTTGTATATGTATTAATTTTTGGTCCCCTGCTTCCATTAGCCTCATTTCTATCCTGTTTTTCTAGAGTCTAGAGATAAGCTCTTCATGTACTTTGCCTTTAAGATTGTGTGGGTTTGTTTTTTTAAGATTTTTTAAATTTATTTGAGAGAGTGAGAGAGTGGTGCAGGGGAGAGCAGGGGGAGAGGAATAAGCAGACTGAGCCATCCAGGCACCCCAAGATTGTGCATGGTTTTTTTTAGAAGTCTGACTGCTCTGTGGGATTGGCCGGTTCTTACCCCAATCTTCTAAAATTATCAGTAATCGTGAGCTTTCAATTTCCCCTCTGACTAGGAGCGATTTATAACAGCGCTTTCCAGCTTCTAAGTGATCTGGGGGTTTTGTTCACCCTTTTGCTGCTGGTTTCATTACCGTCACACGGTAATGACACCTTCTCCTTCTTGCAACTTACTGCATTTCACTGAACAGACATTCTTCCACGCCCTTCTACACACCCGTGCTGGTGTGGGCAATACTGACCAACCTTCAGTGAAATGAGAAAATTAAGAACAATCCCGGACATTTCCACATACCTTAATCTGTAAGGAGAGATGGATTATAATTTCGCAAGGATGCACTTTACTCGTTCCAGCACAGACGGGCAGGATTAAGTGTTACAGGGTAAATTCTGGTCAGACTGTTTGGGTTCTGAAAACCATCGCAGCCACTTACTGGCTGTGCAAGCCTGGGCAATGAACTTTGCCTCTTTGTGCCTCTGCTTCTTTTCCTGTTGAACAGGGCAAATGGCGGTGCCTACCTTAACTTACAGTACATACGAGTGTGTGGCAAAGCTGTACCGAAGCACGGGCTCGGGCAGGACGCGTGCTGTTAGACACTTACAGAAGACCTCACAAAACAAAACCACCGGAAAATTCCCTTCTATGATTATTTACTTGGCTTTAGGGATTTCACTGATTGGCAAAATTCCAGGTTTTGTACCATTTCCCTCTGACAAGATCAACTCTTACATGCGCTCTTCAAGCACACAAAAAGAATGCGGGTTCTATTTGTGGTATAGAGTTCTATAGCTCTAATAATCAATCTTCTTATAATATTACCAAGGTCCTGGATGTCTTTACTGACAACACACTGTCCTAGAGCATCCCTGTCTCCTGCCAACCTGGAAGGTCTTTTTTTGAGTCTCACCTAAAGGATCTGGCTTCTCAGTGTTTCCATTCATGTGAAAGAGACTTGGCATGACCTCAAAAGTTAAAAACTAATGGCATCACCATTTCACACCCCCTTCCTAAAGCCCGAAGCCTTACAACCCTCCCTCTACACATAGCTGCTAAACAGGTCTTTGGAATACCTTGACTGCAATGTCACTCCCCAACCTCTGGGACTTAAACCCTTCAATAACTTTCTGCCAAGAAACAAATCAAGTTTAAACTGTCAGACTATTCTTACTTTGAAATAAAAAAACAAAAACACCACCTATCTCCTAAGGTCTGTGTAAATGCTCAGAACACCACGAACCCCCCCACCCCACGCCGCTGAGGCTGCCACTGGGTGGTGGGAAGGAGAGGTGCTGACAGTCCGTGCCGAGAGGTCCAGAGCACTCACAGCATGGCGATGCCCCAGTGCTTCCCCGCTCTCTCTCCTGCTGCCTGGAAGCCGGACAGCCCGATGAGGGCCACCGTGGGTGTAATGGTCAGGGGCCCGATGTATTTCAGCAGAGCCCCAGGCAGGCCGAGGAGGCCGATGACCACTTCTATCAGTGAGGACATGATGATGGCACCCTGGATCTGGAACGAGAGAGGCCAAAGACAGGAGAGTGAGCAGCCTGTAGATCGTAGACTCCAAATGTCATCCGCAACCACCCTGGACAGTTCTGCCAAGCAGCGACTTACTACCTAACAGGCATGACACAGCTGGAAAATTCCTGAGGCCTCAAAAGAAACCAGTGGAGTGAGTGGGGTCTAGCCAACCTATGAATCCCATGGTCACCATAGGAGCATCACAGAAACGGGCACTGATAGATGCACAGCCAACCTGCCTCCCCACGGACAAGTGAGAGAGTTATCATTCCCGCTCAAGACATGGGACATTCAAAGCCAGCCTGAGAGGAACACTCCAGCACAGACTCTAGAGTGAGTCCCTGAGGGACATTGAGAAGGTAGTATTATCGATACAAATTCTAAAAGAACCCTCCTACAGTGGAGAAGGGCTGTGTCTGCATCCATTCTGAACTAATGGTAAAAGATCTTCCAGGTTTGGGAAGATCTGGATAAACCATCAGCCATTCTTCACTGCTGAGGACTCCCAGCCGTGTTCTCTTGCCCTGTTCTGTTCAAGGGCACCATAGCAGACCAGTATCTTTAATTCCTTCCCCACACACGGGCAAACACAAGCTGGGATGAAGAGTTCTACTGCCCGTAGGCCAGCCTCTGTCACTCCCTGCCAGGGAGCCGTGTCCCGCTGGGCCGGTTACACTGGAGGTTACACATCTGGTCTGTGGGCACACGGTGAGGGGCAGGGAGGGAAATGAAGGGCAAGAAACAACACTGGATGGTGGCATAAAGCATTTCTGCACGCTTCATTTTATGGTGATGGCACCTTAGTTTCACGGAAGAAATAAACATGTCCCAAGTTGGAAAAGAAAAGGAGGGCTTAGCGCAAGGAGGCACGATTTCTTGGGAAGCGGGGGAGAAACACAAAGAAGTCGCATGCACACCGTGCTCATGTTTTACCTCGCGTATCCGGGGGTACCAAATGTGCTCTGTGTGCAGCAGCTCTGTGGTTCCATTGGACACTGAAACATCTTGAAAACAAAAACAAAGACAATATTTTTTTGGAGTGACACTGATGTTTCACAGGATATATTCATTTCACTCTTTGTAAGGAGAAATTTCTTCCCTGTTTTACGTGTATTTGTATAAAATACCCATCCCTGAAATTCCAGTTACGACAGTATGGCTTACCATACTGAAAGGTGGACTCCCAACGCTAACGTAACCACATGTAGTCATCGACTGAGCGCTCCCGGCGCGTCAAAAGCTGACTGAACTAGGGATGCGTACTGCTAGTGGCCTCCTCACACAAAGACCAACCTTTGCAAGCAGCGGAGCTAACTGAAATGCCTGATAGCAAGGCTGCTGACTGAGGTTTTCTAAAGTCTGGAGAAAACAGAGGGCCTTTTCCAGTTCCTAAATCAAATCCGTGGTCACCAACTAACTCCTAGGAGCAACGAAGGAAACAAAGGTTGGAAAACTTTGCTCCTAGAACCAAAAAGTGTAACAGTATTTTGAGAGTACAACAGGACTATCTGATTTTTCTCAAACCCCCTATCTGATTTTTTCCTGACCTTATCAGGCCATTTAAGGATCTCTGTAATCACTAACGGGGTGGGGTGGGGTGGGGAGTGAAAGTCATTTGCAGAAAACCAAAGCAGCCAGGTCCTTCAAAAGCAAAGATGGTTCAGAGAAGGGATGCTGATGCAGCAAAGAGAGTGATTACTGGTGGTTCATAAAATCCACTGAAAGAAAAGAGGCAGAAAAATAGCACAAATGTTGTTCTAGTCCATTCCCATATTTATCAATTTCATTAGCATAGAGAAATGAGGCTCCTTCTGGTCCTTACTTGCTCTGGGGTTAGGGATGAACGAGTGGGGGAGAGAGAGAGACAGAAACACGATCCACAGACTGGAGTGTTCTAAGTGGTTTGTTGGTTTGTGTGTTCTGTGCCTGATTCCAGAAAGGATTTAAGGCCGCCGAGGGCAGCACGTCCAGGCCTCCCTTCTATCACCTGCACTAAGGGACCCCAATGACGTACGTGGAAATAACTGCAGTTACCTGTGGTGTTACATTTCCATTTATCTAAAGACAGGATGGCTCGAGCAGGGGCCAGAAATGCAAAAGCACTGGCCTGAAACAGGGGTAACCTAAAAGAAACGAGACCAAAACCATGATCACGGCATCAGGAACTACCGAGGTAGTTCACGATTTGACAGCTTAACAGTCTTTTCCATAGACACACAGCACATGAGTAAATGCAGGCACGCGTGGGAGAAAGAGCCCGGGGCTACACCGATCTCCTCTGCATGCGGCCAGGGCCGCCGGCTTCTCCGTCCTCCCCTCCTGCTGCTCTCCCCACACACAGCCCCGCATGGGCCCTGGGGGAGCCCTGTGGTCAGCGCCCACACCCCAATACCAGGCCCTGCCATCACCACCTTTCCCCTCGGGGGTGGGGGATGTCGGGCATTTGGGCGTCTTGCTCTCCTGCTGAGCTTGTGAGCTCCTTCTTAAACACCAGTGTGTCTTCCAATTTACCACCCTCCTCCTCCTCCCCTTCACATCCTTATTGGTTATCACAGGAGAAAAATCTATCCCCCACCCCTGACCCGTCATTCCATTTTGTAAATAAAAAACTGCCCTAAATCCTATAGAATAAGCATCATAATCACATTAGTGATCTAGAACTACTGAGGAAAGAAAAGCTGTAAGTTACAAATCAACAGTAGACATAATATCCTGCTTAATCATAAAAAATACTCAAGAGTTCTAAACCCTATTTTTAAAGAACCCCGAAAGCATGCACTCTCTGTAAAATCTCCTGCCTTCAATCCTCAAATACCACCATTCAATTACATTTTAGATACTCCATGCTGCCTTTTTGAACACCTGAGCTACTCAAATTCAAAAGATTTTTGAATGTGTACAACATTTCAGCTATAATTGTATGAAGGTAGCTTTATGGGCTAACATGAGAACTTGACTGCTATTTTTAACATTTTTAGGGTAAAATCTAAAAATGACTCCTTCTGTCGGCAGGGCTGGCAACTCCCAGATGTCCAGATCCTTCTGAAATACTCCCCAGAAGCCTTGTGTCAGTGTCCTGGCCAGCAGACCGGCACCCGACACATGCCCCTCTGTACTCTGACAGCACATCTGACACCAACTGGAACAGGAAGTTGGCTAAGAGGAGGTGGCTCTGGCTGAAGGAGCCTTGTTACAAGCCCAGAGCTGGCACACCCCTCTCTGCGCCAGCCACGGGCTCAAGATTCTCTTGTTCTCCTGGCTGTTTCAGTCATGCCATGAAATCACTGCGAGTAGGCAGGATGCTGGCTGGCGCTAGGGTGCAGAGGCGGGCTGTGCGGGACAGACCAGAGGCATTGCTGGCCGTCATTCATGTGGGCACGCCCTCTACCAACCATCCATTTATGATTACCTGTCGGAAGGGCCCAGAGCACAGTACCATCAAAAGTGGGAGTGAAGATCACCTGAAGTGGGAATATATATTAAAGGAAAACACTGTTTGGTTTGATAAATTTTCAGAAATGCCCTGAAGGGGCAAAGGGAGGTCAACATCTAATCTGGAATGGATGCCGTCTCAAATGGCCCAAATAACATCTGCTTAACTATCGTTTTGGATTTCCAGCATCACATCCCAGGGCCACATAACGTGGACTGCATTTAGAGACCTCTTCCTAGAAATAGTGCCATCAACACCACACTGGTTGACTCACTGGTAGGAAAGTAAAGACTGGCTCTGGGTTCCACTCCCAGGGACATGAACTACTCCTGACCTCGTCTGGACCAGACCATCACCTGGGCACCTTTCAGGGCAAATATTTTATGGCTTAACCATGACCAAAGGTCCTGAGAACACAGCTGCCAAGAATCTCCCTCATTTCAAGCAATTGGGACCCTGCATTCCTTTGAAAGTGTGTGGTAACAGAAAATCCCCACCTGTGCTACCCCAGGCTCGCAGGACTCTGGAAAGGGCTGGCTCACGCGTTCACGGTTCAGCCCCGAGCACACTGCCCGCCCCGCACAGCGCTGGTAGGAGGACGGGGGCAGCTGCTGTACACACTAGATACTCTCAGCGGCTGACAGGGCTTTCTGAAGCTCTTCCCCAGCAGACAGCTGACCGTCTGCCTGCACAGGGCTCATCTTCTACACTTGGTCAAACGCCAGTCACTGCCTTGGGTCCCTGGGCTCCCCCATGTGGGCAGGACAGCCCACTCTCTTACTTTGTCCTGACGGCAGGAAGGGAAACGAATAAAACTGTGCCTGTCTTTACACGGGGGGCTGGCAAACTGGCCCATGAACCCAATCTAGCAAACGACTTGTCTTTGTGAGGAAGGTTTCCCCAGGACACAGCCACAGCTGTCTGCAGCTGCTTTGGGGATACAATGGTGGAGTCTAGTAGTCCCAAGAGAGACCACAGAGCTCAAAATGTTTACTGCTTGTCCCTTTACAGAAAAAGTGTGCCGCCCCAGTGTAGAGGTAAAGTATTATCTGAAACATGGGAAGAGGTGGTAGGTTTTTGCAGATGAGCTTTTAAGGTTAATAGTGTCCCTAAACGTTAGGAGGAAACAAATCTGAGCAGACAGGCACCTTTACTGTGCTGACGCATTCCCATGTCGGGCTCCAGCCTTAGGATGGAGAAAAGCCTAACCTAAACCTTACTTCCTTTAAAACTCTGCTGGAGGCATCCCATTTCCTCCTCCGAACCCAGGAGACCAGAGCCGCGGGCCCCAGGCTCTTTCTCAGCAGCCCCTTCACAGACCTGCACTCTAGCTTCTCACTTCTGAGCTTTTGCCCTTCTCAGTCATCAACTCACTTCCAACAATCAATTTTTATTCCTCACTCAAAGGCACAGAGAAAATACCACGTCCTCCAGGAAACATTCCAGGATCTCCTTCCTCAGGTTCAAAATGCGTTCCCCTGTAACTCTGGCTTTTCTGTCCAGGACTTCTCCAAGTCACCCTGCAAGCTGCCAGGAAGCTGCTTCATGATCCCTGGGGTGCTGGTTAAAAACAGCAATTTCTGCATCTCACCCTGGCCTCGTGCATCAGAGTCTCGGATGAGGCCTCAAATCTGCATACGGAACAATCATTTCTGGGTAAAGCTGAGGCACCAGGCACCACAAAGGCAGACTACCCCTGTGCCAGTAAAGGGATTTACTGCTTTACAGTGACAGAAAAAACGACCCCCGGGCTGCCGAGGAGTTTCTGCTGTGCGAAGGACACAGCTAGTCACGGCCACACACGAAGCTGGGGATGGCTGTAGGAGTCGTCACCGACCCAAACTAAGGGGCCAGAAGCACTTCGCCACACGTGGGAGGGGCTACAAAGAGTCCAGGCAGGGAGAAGAACAGGCACAAACTCGAGCCACATAGCAGCCTCAGGAATCCTCCGAGAACTGAGAACCGCAGGCACCTGACAGTGGCTTGGAGCCAATGTACTGAAGGTCAGGGCAGACCCGGGGCAAAAGCCCCACACTGTGCCAGCAGGCAAGAGCAATCTTGCTTGGAAAGGACCACTGTGGGAGAACTGGGAAAGGTGACCTTAACCCCAAAACATTCTCAGAAGGCACTCTAACAGGACATGGCCTGACTCCGTTTGTGGTGAGTCGCTGACCCACTCATGCTGCGGCGTCGACTCCAGGACCCACCAGCCCAGGGCAGGTCTGTGCGTGCACCTCGGCCTCCATGGGCTCCCTCAGTAGCACCTAAGCACTCTGTGCTGCCGAGCTCCCTGCACGTGGACCTGCCCCTCTCCCCACGGGGCCAGAACCGCCTGACAGTAGAAGCTGGGCCCTTTTCACCCATCATCATTGCATCCCCAGGACCAACCTTCACTTAGCAATTAATGAATGAATTAAAGGCACTATTTACAAATGCTATTCTTCAAGAAGAATTTTATTAGACTAGAAATAAGAAGTCTTTTGGGGACACCTGGGTGGCCCAGTCAGTTAAGCGCCTGCCTTGAGCTCAAGTCACGATCTCAGGGTCCTGGGATTGAGCCCTGCATCAGGCTCCTTGCTCGGTGGGGAGCCTGCTTCTCCCTTTCCCTCTGTTGCTCTCCCTGCTTGTGCTTTCTCTGACAAATAAATAAATAAAATCTTTAAAAAAAAAAAAACAAGTTTTTTTTCCATTTTTTTTTTAAACAAATAAGGGAAAGGTTTTTTTTTTTTTTTTTTTTTTTTTTTGGGTAAAGATTACAAGCACTGGGTAGAGAGGACAGAGAGTCAAATGTGCATGAATATTCCAGACAAAAACCTGACAACTTCCCCAGGCCTTAGGGGCTAGCAATCCTCCCTGTTATCATCAGGAGAAACGTTTTTAAAAAGTTTAAAAGGGTAGGTCGGCCCTACAAGCAGCACCTGGAAGGTAAGAAATGTTATCTCCCTGGAACTGAATCATTTAATGAAAATGAGTAAAACAAAAACAGTCACTCAACACAGAAAGTACACTCTGTGCCTGGATTCCCGATCTACCAAGAAAGCAATTCAGTTCATGCAAAACATCTCGTTGTCAAATAAATATATACTTGAGTCTACATTGCAGCACAATTTTAAAATAATCTCTAAAAAATACAGAACAGGCTTCACCTCAAGGAACTATAGTTTCAAAACTGAATCTGTCATCAGGAATGTATATCCTCAGTCCCTTAAGGAAAAGCAAAACACACTTTGTCTAAGGAAACTCTTAACTGCTAACATTTTCCTATTATTTCCCATATGTATGTTCTATCAGCTGAACTATCTGGAAAGGAGCTTGAATCTTCTAAGAATAAACACCCCCTCCTACAACATCACTTTCCCATGTCATACCCAAGGATGACATTAATTTAACAACGTTATCTACTCTTCAGGCCATATTTAAATTTATTTATTTATAAAAGTGCTTATACCTGCCCCTGCTCCCCCAAATCCAATCAGAGTTCCTATACTGCATTTGGTTGTCTTGTGAAATGTTTAGAACCAGGCTAAACACTTCCGGCAAGGAGACAGCTCAGGTGTCATGCACTTCTTAGAGCATCCCATCAGCAGGCCTGCCTGGTTTATCAGATTGTCCCAGGAGGTGGGAAAGCCTGGTTAGGGCAGTGACTGCTAGACTCTCCATTTAAAAAGGACCTTTTTCCTTTTGTAGTTA